ATCACATGACAAAATTTTCTTGAATAACCACTTGCATCATTGATAGAAATAAAGAGCATTCCTAAAAGTGAAGTGTCCAGCAAAGAATAATTAACAAGCAGATAGGCTTATTTGCTAGTAAGTTTGCAGGTTTTTATCTCTAACTTTAGATTCCAGATTACATTATGTGCACATCATCTTCATGTTGAATGAACTCTCTGCCATCTCTCTGAAAGACTGAGGGAACTCCTTTGATTTGACCAAGGCATGATCAGTTTCTAAATGTATTTGCCCCCGACTTCTGTAACAAATTTAAAAAAAAGTTTTGAAAAAGGTTTTCTAATTTGAATTAATGTAGTTTTAATCAGATAATTCAGTTTATGCAGAAATCTACAATTGGCAAATTGATATAACATAGTTAAAAAGTCTTTATAAAGCATATCATATATATTATATTATGTATGTCATATTTTGTCATATTTGTAGTTAAATGGTTTGGGGAAGTCAATGTATTATGACTGAAATATTGCAAGCTTTATAGTAAACAATCGGGTTAATCAATTATAAATTTTGAAAAATAGCATTATTAACCAATATTTTATCAAATTCATGAAGTATCCTTTTTTAGTTTCTGTTGTCAGGGTTGTTAAGAGAAAGGGCATGTTGGACTGTTACTTCAGAGAAAAATCCCTGGGACAAGGTGTTTATATATATGGGCTTTTTTTATGTTATTAAATGTATTTTCTCAAGAATTTTTCTCTCAGATGGAGACGCCACCACTTTTGGTGGACAAATGCAAATTTTTTTAAACTCGGCATTTACAGCTATTGAGCTGGGGGGGGATCTTTTTCATGCCAGCACCTACTGCGACAAGGGACCTTAATTGGGTTATATAAGTAAAAATATAAGATAAGATATTTTTATAGTGTCTCATCAGAAGAACAGGTCTCCATGTTCATAGAAAGATTCAACATCCCATGTAAGGATCAACTCCTTACTTCGTGACTAAAAGGGCGAGGCTTTAACCACTGTGCCATTGGGCTACTCATGTACCTGGGAGTGTTGACTAATAGCCGTCCAGTGGCAATGAGGAATTTTGACTGCAATAAAATTGACTTACTAATAACTAAGCACATATGTCCTCCACATCATGGTCTTTTCTGTGCATGGTGGCCATAAGCAAGTGGGTCTTCATACATGAAAGTTCTGAAGCCTAAATGGTACCAGCGCACTACAGGTGCTAAAAAAAATTATGTGTTTGTGTTAATTATGTCATGTTTCATTTTTCTTTAATGTACTTTGAGGTGATCAAGAAAACTTACCATGCCACTTCAAAATCAACACAAAAATAAGTCAAACTTATTCGAATCCATCATCTCAAAACACGGTTTGGATGTTCAAACCCACAATACAAAAATTGATTTGTTTGATGTACTCTGACAGGTCCGGCACAAAGTCTTGATTACGCAGTACAGTTAAGGCAACATTTTCTATAAAAACTCACGGAATCCGATGCATATAATGTTTAACAGTTTTATTTTTGAGAAAGACACTCTAGTTAAAATAGCTATTTTTTATCTTGAAGAGGATGTCCATCGCTTTTCACATCGGTATTTTTGACATCATGTGACCCCCTGAAGTCACGTGGGCTCCGATTTTAGGTCAAGAAATGAGATGTCAATTCTAACCAAAAAGTGCAAGGGCAAGGCAAACAAAAAATTAACTGCAAAATGTTTAATGTTGTCACTGTGTATCTATACTTTCTCAAAAGAGATGCTCATTCAGTTAGTTTTTCGATATAATTAAGTTACTCAGCTAAAACAGACAGTAATATATGAAAAATAGGATATTTTCCTAATTTCATCGCGAATTATAAATTAAATAAAGGATTACAAAGAAATGAGCATCACTTTTTGAAAACTATACAATAAAATAAATAATTTAAAATAAAAACCTAGATTTTAGATTATCGCCTTGCCCTTGCACTTTTTGATTAAAAATTGAAATCTTGGAAGTGTCAATCTAATTTTAGTTTTCAAATGCATCATTGACCCAGCATGGGAGATAACTCTTGAGTTCTTGATATAGTTTGTTTACCTCGTAAATTTTAAATAAATATACATGCGGACAGGGCTGGACTCTTTTTTTACTTAATCAAACGGTATGCATAAAAATCGTTGACATTTTTTTTCTTTTCTTTGTATTCGTTCTCCACACATTGTACACATTTAATATGTCTTTCAAACCTCCCGCATTTCCTCAAAGATGTGTATATACATGTAGTATTACATACAAACAGGTTTAAATATTGCCGATATATTTATGTAGAACACAAATGGTTATTTAAAATATAGCCTTCATTAATAATTAATTATATATCTATCCCCCTCTCACACTACTGTACGCATGGCGACGGAACCGGGTTGGGGGTGGGGAGGGGGATAGGGATTAGCCTCCATGAGTCCATACTTATTTGGAAATTATATATTTAATGTAGGCATTGGAATTTACCTTTTTCTTTTGGTTAAGCCCCCTCCCCTTTCAATTAGCCCCCTTTCATTTGCTTCCGACGCCGATCGTACACAAACTTGTGTTAATATATTTTTTTTATTTCTGCATTTGTTCCCCGATCGCTTTCAATCAGACCGCTTACTGTTAATTAGTGGATATTAACTAGGTTTAAAGTTTTAGGAACTTATTAGAAAGGATTGGGTTATACTCTGTATTTGTTAAGCTAGGAGACAGCCATTTTACTCCGAGGGGGAGGGGCTAGCGGATTTTAGAAATAAATTCTTGCAGATCAGTGATCTCCGAGTTTTTAACATTTTTTTTCATGTTAGACTTTTAAATGAATGAGAAAATAAATAAATAATCTGTCCTTCATTTCATTAATCGGAAATAAATATTAATCTGTCCTTCATTGCCATGAAAATAAAAAAAAATCTGATTTGGAAAAACTCCCCCCCCCCCCTTTCCCTCAGAATCAAATGGTGCTCCCCTATTCTATTTTTAATCAATTAGGGGGATATCTAGTCTTCTGTGTTTTTTTTTATTTTATTAAAAAATAAATGAACACAATGCACATGCTGGAAATAAGATCTTTATGGACATTAGTACCCTCTACACAAAATAGCATGCAAGCTAAGATTTTCAAATCTTAATGGCCTTTTCAACACATGAACAGTAAATAAATTAAAAAGTCAAATTATTTTATTTATCTAGAAAATTTATTAAATAAAATTTCTTTTCAAATCCAATGATAGACTGTAGGCCTATGAATGCTGGGTAGGTGCATCACTTCATGTTCTTGAGGATAAAATGAATTCTGAAAAAATGAGAAAATCAGGAAATTCCATTATTGAAAAAAATTTGTGTTATAAAAAATGAAATTGAAAAATGCATTGAAACATTTAACATAGAATGCATAAACATGATTTCAATTCTTCTGTTAGTTTTATTATCAAAACTTTGTATGATTTATAGCTAATATTGAGCATACCATTTTCCTTAAATTAACTTCCTGCCTGAGTGAATCCATTAGTCCACGGGAAAAGCTATGCCTACAACACAATATAATATGCAGAAATTTATTTGCTATGAAATTACTAAATATACATTGTAGAATAAAATGGCATTACATTTTACAAAAAAAAAAATGCTACATTGTATACTGTAGTGAATTTATGTAATTCATATAAATGGGAAAAAAATATGTTACAAAACTTCTCTGGGAAAGTAAAACTTCTGACATTTACGATTATAGTTAATAATAGAATATTTTCTAAAAAAAAAATAAATAATAATGAGTTTTTCCTTCACCAAAGTGAAAAAAAATGTAAAGTACATGCAAACTTTAAAAATGTGAAATGCTTTAGAAGTATACATACCCTGTGGAGAAATGATGCATTTTTCATTTATTTATTTCTTTAAGCCTGATACTCTTGACAGCTACAATGATAAAAATATTATATAAATATTTTAATGTACATGTAATCTAAACAAAAATGAATATTTTTTTCATTACTTTAGAAATTCTAGAAAATTACAACCATAGATCTGAAGGGAGTTTCTATGTTTTCAACACAATGCTACTGATATTTTTTTTTTATTTGTGCATATTTGTATGTCAAAAGACATCATAGCTTGTATAGGCCTAGTCACTAGTGAATCATTGACTGAAACAATGAAAACATATTATCATTTAATTTAGTTTAAATTTTTGTTACTGATGACCTCCATTATTACACATATTGTTTCAAAGAAATGAGCTAATTGACAGGAACTTAGTACATATTTAGTGCAATTAATTTTTAATAATTCTATAAAGTGTGCAACTTAGTGGGGGGGGGGGGTTTACACAAAGGCACTGCATTACAGTTTTTCACTGACTGTGATATGATGTGAAATGAACATAAGCACACTCGGGTTTTTTATGTTAACAAAAGCATGTCTACATATTGTAGGCCTATATCTACACATGAACCTACATACCTGGCCTGGAATTTCAGTGCAGTGATGGATCTACGGATCTGGTGCATATCGTCTCAGTTTTCTGCTATTTTCCGAAATAATGTCCTCATATTCTCGTAAAAGGAAGAAGCAATGCCGTGTCTCTTATTTCATCCCTATTTTCTTTTAAGATTGTGTGGTTATTGCATTTAAATCAACTGCAAATCTCAGCTGATGTCGCCACGTTTTTAGATGTAAACAACATTCCGTGTCACCGAGTGCAAGCGCTTGGCTGAAGCCGAATGCAGACAAACGACGCATTAAAAAGAGAATTATTTTAAAGACTTGATATTATATATACGGGAAAATCACTAAGTATTTTCTATTTCAACATGAAGATATTGCTGTTTATTACAAATTCTTGCAAACATCGGTAAATTGTTATTTTAAGCACCATTTCCTTATATGGATCAATCAGGGCGGAGCATCTGTCATGACGTCAGAGCTCATTATGACTTCATTACCATATTTTTTTCATGTGTTGCCTTAACTGTACTGCGTAAGCTATATAGCTTGATTTAGCTATATAGCTTTATTAAGCTATTCAGAATAGCTTAATTAAGCTATTTTATCACAATTTTTTCTCAAATGATTTATTTTTTCAGCATGTGCAACAAGTCACACCTTGTTGCAGTGGAAATATTAAACTTTGAACTCTTCTGAATACAATGCATGTAAAATCACTCACCAAATTGTGTCTCCTTGAGAGACTTTGTACTCAATTTTTTTTATAAAGTTTGGGGGCTTTTATGAGTGACCACACAATTATTTCTTGAATGAATTTATAAAGGAGGTCAGTTATGGCCAACAGGATAACCGATTGGTAACTGTTTCACACAATGAGAAGCAATCATACTTATCCACGTCAATAATTTTTTCAGCACTGTAAACTTTTATTTTTCTTTTTAAATTTACTAAAATTGTTTCATTTTAAAGTAAAAATGTATAATTTCTATAGGATGATTTTTGACTGAAAGTTTTTATGACAACAAACTTGTGTAGCTAACAAACATGTCAAATGTGTACTGCTAAGAAATCTGTGATTTCATGACAGTTATCAATTTTTCAGCAGTGTAAACCACACGAAAATTAACCAACTACCTACCATCTTAAAAATGTGGATCGGAGGGGACGGAGTACATCGAACAAAAATATTTTGTTGATCAGTCAACACAGTATTCAGATTCCATATTGAGAAAACAGTGACATCGCATTGTAAACAATTTTGTCATCGGAAAAATAGTTTTTGTGAGAGTTTTTTTGAAAGAACCGAAAATTATCATTTTTGGGTTACCGACGATGTCAAACCAGCGAACGGCTTCTTATCACATGTACATGTGTAGCCAGGGTCCAGTCTACTACTATAGAATGTATATATATATAGGTCCTTAGTAGTCTATAATGTCTTTTCAATTCAGTCAATGTACTCTACAATACTTTTAAACTTTTCAATCAATACTTACTCACATCTAATGCCAAAGAAAAGACCCGTCATATCTGATGAATTGACGTGTTCTCCATCGTAAAATAATCATGAAAATCCGTGCTGATCAACAACCTGTTGTTGTTTACAGCTTCAGCGGAAACACGTGTTAATCTCAAATAAAATCAACTCATACCGTAATGAGTCGAGATTTTGTATTAAATCATTGTGTTTCAGTTTTTTTTTTAAATTTCATGTCAGTATATGTTTAATTTTATTTTATATTAAGAATATATTTTTATAAAGCAAACAGCAATAAATCTTTTTTTTTTTTTTGACGTAGACCTTTAGGAATCAAACATTATTTTTTTTTATCAACACTGAATAATCTTATTGCACATTGCATAAATAAACAAAAATGAAAAATACATATATACTATATTTCTCTAAAGCTGTAAAGATAACTACTGTTATTTTAAATCATTTTTTTAATAATGCATATATTTAAATTTAATTAAATATAATAGTACATGTACTAAATATGTTGTTCCGAATGAGGCGCAACGAAAACGACCTTGACGTTAAATATTGACTACCTTCAAATTTTCTACAAAAATTACGCGGAGGTTCAAAATTCAAACTATGGTAATTCAGGGAATACCGAAAATAAAGAGACCAGTGAAAGCTTGTTAAAATGGAAATTTTCTCTACTTTTACCAGCTGTATTTTGTTTTCCCTATTTCAACACAGAAATAAAGGTAAAACTGCGTTTAATTCAAATATTACGAATAAAACCCAGAAAAATCACATGCGTGGAGGAAAATTCTTGTTTTAAAAAAATATTTAAAAGAAAAAGCAATAATTTTTACATATTTTAAAAGCAGAGAAAATATCCTTTTAAATATATTAATATTATTTAAATGATTTAATCAGGAAAAAATATACCTATCGTCAGGATATTCGTCCTTGCTTTTGAAAATTGCGTCATTTTCAAAAAGTCATGAATGTCTTCAAAACGTAAAATCTTTTCATTACCGATTAATGGACATTTTCGGTTGGGTGAACTTCTACTGCACTATCGATAACGGATAAAAAAAAGTATGGAAACCCTAAAAAGCAATAATGAAATAAACAAGAATAGATATGGGTTACCCCATATCCAAAGATATTCGACTTTTAGATTTAATATGTTAAACAGTGTTTAATATATACAAATTTTAATGTTTTTAAATAACAAGTTTAATGTGTAAAAAGCTTTTGCTATCATTGCAAGACACCACAAATTATTTTTATTTCATAACATGATATTAGGCATTGGTATCTAAGACTGGATTCAAGAAAATCTTATTTCTCTAAAACTGTATTATTATTTTTTTTTAATTTTATAGGGTACAAATGTCAAATTTTATAAGACCTTTTCTAAGACTTCCAAAACCCTTGAATCTTATAAAGATGAATAAAATAAAAATTGTTGCATGAAAAGATTTCATTTTCAAGCTTAATTTTGATGCATTTGAAATTAAATATTAATTTTTGGAGTTATCCTTCCTGGCTGAGGATCGGATATCCTTAATTGGATAATTTGAATGTAAATTCTGATTAATAAAACTTATACCATCCCTGCTGAACTTCTCAGTATATTTTGTTTTAACATTTGCATCTGCAACGAAGTGTGTTTAAAATGGGTTAAGAAATCAGGACCGGGCCCGGAAATTCTAAACGGAAAAACCATTTTAAAAAAAATACTAAAAAAAATAATTTATTCGTTACGGAACTTACTTATATAATTCAAATTCTATATAAAATGATATGCCGAACTTTACCACGAACCCAGTTTTCAACTTAGAAATCTCCAACCCGGTTCGGGTTTTGCTACACATTTTATAACTACGCTCCCTAAGAGGGAGAATTAACAAACAATTAACATGAAATTAATACAATTGTTGATTATAGTATAATTAATTCATCGGTGAAAATATATCAATCGAATAATGAACTAGATATTCTGATAGCAAATATGTTACAGAAAAAAGCTGAAGAAGGAGCGAGCGTGGGAATATTTTTATTTGCATTTCGGGGAGAAAGTGATCTTTAAAGAAAAAAAATACATTAATTTTGGTTTCTTTTACACATGACATAAACAGCATTGTTCTTCCAATGAACCAATATGTTCTATCTACTTATCATGATGGAACTATTTTCGTCGGAACAATTTGTTTAAGTCGCCGCTGACTACAATAATATATCTTGAACTGATAGGAAGCACTGATCAAATATACTGAAAATAATACAAGCTCCTTAGTTTTAAATGGCGTTTATTAATAATGTTACTCAAGGCATCATGATCTGAATTAAAATATTGTAGAACACTGCTGAAGGAAAAACTAATTTACTAATCCAATTCAGAACTGCTTTAAAGCGTATGTGCTGTAAACTGAGTGTTAAAAAAACGCCATTTTAAACTAAGGAGCTTGAATTATTTTTTTATTTCATAATTGCTTTTTATGGTTTCCATACTTATTTAATCCGTTATCGATAGTGCAGTAGAAGTTCACCCAACCGAAAATGTCCAATAAGGCTCAAAATTTTTACAGGGTCTTAAAGTAGAGATAATTTCCTAAAAGATGATATGTAATTTATATACCTTAATGCTATTATTAAAAATATACAGAGGTCCTGTTATCGCGATGCCGTGTTTTAACGCGCTATCGGTCATATTGACTGATGCGGTAGAGAAGGGGTTAAGGTATTCAATGTATAACGAAGGGATTTTTACTGATTTTAAGTAATTTTAAACTAGTTAAAAGCACACAGCTAGAAAAAAATAAAAGTGAAATAAACCAAATTCACATGACTAATAACATGTAAGGAGACGGTCATTTTGCACATTTACAGTTTTTGAAGAGTTATCTGCCCTTGATGAAAAGAAGAAAATTTTTGATTTCACAAAATTTCTGCGGTAAATAATTTATTTTATTTTATATTTTAATAAAGAGCCGAAATATGGCTGAAATACTGCCGACTCGGCGTAAAACAACAATAATCAATAAAGAGAGGGAGTTTATGCATATTTTCACCAAGGGATTTCTTTGAAATCCAAATTACTTTTTATAATATCTTATAAAAACATGCACTGCCCATAGACTTCAATGTAAAATTCAAAGTGATATTAATTGGACAATAATCAAGATTTTGTAAATTCCTTTGGTGGAGCATTTTAATTTGATAATATCTTCAAATTGCTACCATGATTAAAAATATTGGACCGTTCATTTATTAGGTACAAAATATGGTCGTTATACCTTGAATACTTTAATCCATATTCTTATTACACTCACTGCATAAAACACTGTGGTTCCAGATAAATCAGGTAATGAGTGAAAACAAAATAAGAATTCAAGCAACACCTATAATAAAAAATATCAAATAAAATCGTCATAGATAAAAAGATTTCTTGTTTGAATTACTTTTTTATATAATTCAATTTAAAAAAATATCTGAGGCAATTAAGAATTACTCATTTATGTAAAATGATTTATCACATGAAAGCATAAAATTTATATTCAACTGTCTTTTATGTATATCTTTAAATGACGGACTTCCTCATAGGCAAAGTTTCAAAGAGACGGATACTTACACTGAGGGATACAACTAAATCCATTTACGTAAAGTTGTGGGAAAAGAAGACGTGGTAAACCTACCCATGAATGAAAACAGCACCGTACAGATAAATTGTATACTGTAAAGCACTTAATTCCACAATGTCGACAACCATTGAGGAATGCTAAGA